TCTGCTGACCCGTCGCTGTTTCTTCGCACCGACACTTCCCTGCCGCCATTCTACATCCTCGTGTACGTCGACGACTTGGTCTTTGCCACAGCGGACACTGCTGGACTCGCCTACGTGAAGTCCGAGCTGCTGAAGAGACACACGTGCACAGACCTGGGTGAACTGCGCAGCTACCTTGGCTTGCAGATCACTCGGGACAGAGCACGCCGCACCATTACCTTGACTCAGTCACACATGGTGCAGCAGGTCCTTCAGCGCTTCGGCTTCACGTACTCCTCGCCTCAGGCCACTCCTCTGCCTACTCGCCACTCACTCTCAGCTCTGCCTTCGGATGAGTCCGTAGAGTCGAGTGGTCCGTATGCAGAGCTTGTTGGCTGCCTCATGTACCTGATGACCTGCACACGACCTGACCTTGCATACCCTCTGAGCATTCTTGCACGCTATGTTGCTCCTGGGAGACACAGACCAGAGCACATGGCTGCAGCGAAGAGGGTATTGCGCTACCTGTGGAGTACGTCGGGCATGGGGCTAGTGCTTGGAGGGCGGAGTCCAGTGGTCCTTACCGGCCACGCGGACGCTTATTGGGCTGACGACCAGGCTACGCAGCGGTCGTCACAGGGTTACACCTTCAGCCTTGGTTCCGGCTCTGTCTCGTGGCGGTCTACTCGCTCGTCTTCGGTTCTCGGCTCCAGTTGTGAGGCTGAGATCTACGCCGGGGCCATGGCTGCACAGGAGCTTCGCTGGCTCACCTACCTGCTGACTGACCTTGGAGAGCCGCCTCGTTCTCCTCCAGTGCTGTATGTAGACAACAAGGCCATGCTGGCCTTGTGTCGAGAGCAGCGCTTGGAGCACAGAACGAAGCACATTGCTCTCCGCTACTTCCTTGCTCGTGAGCTGCAGCAGCGTGGTCAGTTGCGACTTGCGTACGTGGCCTCTGAGGCCAACACTGCTGATGTGTTCACCAAGGCACTCGCGCCTTGTGACCATCAGCGCTTTTGCACCCAGCTGGGTCTTGTGCCTGTCTTGCCTCACTTGCTCTCCTCTTGACTTCACTTGTACTGTGACATATATATATACCTGCTCTTGCTTGTCTAGTTTTATATATATGTCTGTACTCCTGCATGTGAACTGGCCTCTGGCCCTGCTCTTGTGCTCGGACTGTGTGGTGACTTTGTGATCCACCCTGAGCTTGCTTTGCTTTGCTTGACTGGTCTTGTGACCCCTTGTTCTCCCCCACTTTGCCTGTGGGGGTGTGTCAAACATTATATGTGTTATGCTTGTGTAGGCTACAGTGGGTTAGCCTATAGGGGGTACACAATTCTAGGGTTTCCTACTTGTACTCATTTCACTGCTAGTTCATTCATTCCTGTTTACTTGTTTCACACTCCTTGCACACCTTGCTGCTCCTCCTCGGTGACACTCTCCTCCATAGATGCCGCCGCTGCCGCCTTGCCCGATTTCCGCCAAGGGAGGACCGGGATCTGCCACATCCGCTTGTGGACATCTCCCTTCCACTGCAGGTCCCAAATGAGGCGCTCATCGTTGTAAGCACGATAGCGCTCCGAGCCAACCGTCTCGGTGTTCACACCCGCATCTCCCAACCGGCCGGTAGAAATCAGGTTCGCACACAAGTCCGGCACCCACAGCACATTCTTCAACCCCACGAGCTCTCCATCCGCTCCCATGAACTTGGCGCATCCCATGCCCATGACCTTGGCCTTGGCGCCCGTCGCGGACGTGACCGTAGAGATAGGTGCGGGCTGAATCTCATTGAGTAGGTCCGCATGAGGAGTCATGTGCCAGGAGCTTCCCGAGTCAATCTCCCAATGGGTGAGGGGGTGTAGGAGAACCTTGGCAGCCATAGCGAGGTCGGTTGCGCCTTCGTTCACGAAAAAGAAGAACCCGGCCTTCCGCTCCTCAGATTTGCCGCCTTTCTCCTCCTCCTTCTCCTCTCCACTAGCTCCCATGACTCCCCCACTCCTCTTGCCACCATGCAGGTTGCTCGATGAAGGCGGGGTCCAATCCTTGGGTCGTTGGTAGCACTTCCGCCAACGATGTCCGCGCTTCTTGCAGTAGAAGCACACCTCCCCTTGACCCCCGCCACCATCCTCCTTAGGGTTGTCCTTGTTTTTGCCCTTCCACTTCTTCTTGAAGCCACTCTTTCCACCTCCAACTCCATAGCCAGCCCCCTCCTCCGAGCGCTCCACACTCCGCCGCCGCAAGTCCTCCTCTAGAATGCGCGCGCGAATGTAATCCACGCTCCATTGGGGTTGTTGGGAGTTGAGGTTGATCGCTAGGGCAGACCACGACTCCAGCAGCCGTATCACGATCTCCACGCATTGCACGAGCTCCGGGTACACCACACCGCCTCCTTGGAGCTTCGTGAAGATGTCCCGCATCTCATCCAACACCGGTTGCATCGGCTCTCCATCAACAAACTTGATGTCGCGCAGCCGCCGCGCGAGTAGCACGATGCCGGTAGCATGTGTCGGTGAGTGCACATCCAGAAGCTTCCTCCAAGCCTTGGGGCCACACTCTGGATCACCCAAGAGGTCCTTGATGTGGTCAAGTTGTCGTCCGCCAACCGCTTGCACCATGAGCATGTACGCGTCGAACGATCGCTTCATCCACGCTCCTTTCAGCTCCGCGGCCTCCGGCATCTTCTCCTTCCCCTCCACCAGATCCAATAGCTTGTATTGGGTGTACATCAGCCTCATGCGGAAGCTCCTGTGCTCGTAGTCCTCCCCCATGAATTTCTCAATAGAGAACGCCTTCACCGGATCCACGGTTGTTGGAGATGGTGTAGTAGACGTAGGTAGCGTCGGGTTGGCTGGTTGGTGAGTCCCCACTCCTCCACCAGCAACTCCCCCCTGCTCTCCAGCCTCTCTACTTCTATCCATCTCGCCACTAGCACCTCCGGAGTTCGTACCAACTATATTGAGGCCTTATGAACGGTGGAAACTTGAGAAATCGTTTGGAGAGAATTCTGCCAGAAATTTTGATTCTACGAAAAACGCCGTCGCGGACTGGATAGTTCGAATTAGAACGCGGTTTGACCACCAATCGAAATTTCGCAAGCAAAGCTACTAGAAAATGGTCTCACACGACATCATTGGTTGAGAATTCTTGACGATTCGTCGTCTCGAAGTCGACTACCCGCTCTGATACAACTTGTTGTTTAGGATCCGTCACTTTGAGAACTTACGACGAACTCATTACTCAACTAAACGCAAATCCGCTCAGTAGGATTGTGCGCCTTAGGCTTAGCTACCATCTCCAAGTTGAATCAATGGTCTAGAGAGTGAGAACCATGTAAAAACGTCCAGCAGCCGCATGACTAGAATTGTGGAGGAAGTACAAAACATTAAGATATAGAAAGTTGGAGTTGGGAACCTTCAAGAGAACCATGAGAGGGAAGGTGTTCTCCAAGAGCTAGGGAAGGATGGTAGGAACCTTCCTAGCAGCAAGGATGCAACCCTCATCATGAGGTCCTTGAGGTGTCACATGCAAAATCCAATCTAGTTGGATTTTGCATAGGTGTTGCAACATTTGCAACCCATGCTAGAAACTTCTAGCCACCCCAATCCAAAAGTCAAAGTTGCCTTCCCTAACCACCCAACCAAAGATCCCTTTATATTCATGTCCCAAGTAATCACTCAAGTTAGATATAACCCCAAAGGTAAATAAGAAATCCAAGTCTTGGAAATCTTGTAACTTGGGCGATCTTGGTCGGAATAAGGCGATCTTGGTATCGTTGGAAAGCTCTGGATTTCTCCTGCATGATCAAGCATTTAGACTTGGAGAAAAACACAGAGATGACAATATCCAACAGCCATGCATAATGACATATGCTCATGCAAATCATGCAAGCACAAATAGCACGAGCACTCGGCAGGACGTTAGGATGACATGCACTCAGAATGACGTGCATCCAACAGTGTGCAGCTTACACTGCAGTGAGGGCAGTCAAGTATCTGATCTCTCCGGGTATCTCCCCTGTGGCGTCGGTGAATGAAATGAGTTTCCTGCGTTCATGCCCAGCATGCACAGGCAATCAGCAAGACTGAATGCACCACTGACGCGAATTGAAGCCTGGTTTAGGAACCATACTACAAGGCACAACACAACTGAAGGATGATTTGACATGAGGTAGAGAATAGCAGCATAGCATAACGCGACCGCATTTTTTTTTGTGCACTGCACTGCATTGATGCTTACAGATCTGGAAGGCTTCGCAATTGAGAAAGAATGTGGAGGGAGGACAAGTCCCCTATGAATTCTGCCAAGCCAATCAGACTCCTGGTGGCAGGAGGGCAGTGTGGCATGCACGTATGCATGGGCAAAAGTTGGCGCAGTGGGCATGAGTTGGCGCAGTGGGCATGAGTTGGTGCAGTGGGCATGATTTGGTGCAGTGGGCATTAGTTGGCGCAGTAGGCATGAGTTGGCAGAGTGGGCATGAGTTGGTGCATTGGGCATGAGCTGGCGCAGTGGGCATGAGTTGGTGCAGTGGGCATGAGTTGCGAGCACAATGTGGTGTGCACCACGGCTAAAGGAAGGAATGAGTGGAAAGCCAACAGCATGCGCAATGACATGTCTTCCTGGACGAGCATGCGTGGCAGGGTGAGCATGCGTGGCAGGGCGAGCATGCGTGGCAGGCCAGGCATACAGCGTGTGCAGGGCGGTGAGGGAGGAAAGCCAATCCAGTTCGACCAATGTGCCATTCAGCCTGCTGCCGTCCATTCCGATGGCCCTGTGGTCATGCGTGGCATGCAGGGAAGGGAGCATGCCGCGCATTCATTGGCTAATGGGGATGGGGAGGAGGAGAGGACACATGCCAGAGGTGCCAGATGCAGGGGCAGCAGGAATGATTAACCCTTAATCATGACACAGCGGGAGAGTACATCTAGGGACGGATGGTAATGATTGGTAGCGCAAGGAATCGGACTGGGAAAGTTGGAATGGGTTGAGGTTTTGGAGCGTGGATGGGATGGGAACAAGGATCAAGCTTCGAAGAGCAGGATGTGTGCACATGAGGGTGGTGAAATGGGCATGGTGGATGGGCATGGTGCACGGGCATGGTGCACGGGCATGGTGCACGGGCATGGTGCACGGGCATGGTGCACGGGCATGGTGCACGGGCATGGTGCACGGGCATGGTGCACGGGCATGGTGCACGGGCATGGTGCACGGGCATGGTGCACGGGCATGGTGCACGGGCATCGTGCACGGGCATCGTGCACGGGCATCGTGGACGGGCATGGTGCACGGGCATGGTGCACGGGCATGGTGCACGGGCATGGTGGATGGGCATGGTGCACGGGCATGGTGCACGGGCATGGTGCACGGGCATGGTGCACGGGCATGGTGCACGGGCATGGTGCACGGGCATGGTGCACGAGCATGGTGCACGAGCATGGTGGACGGGCATGGTGCACGGGCATGGTGCACGGGCATGGTGCACGGGCATGGTGGACGGGCATGGTGCACGGGCATGGTGCACGGGCATGGTGCACGGGCATGGTGCACGGGCATGGTGGACGGGCATGGTGCACGGGCATGGTGCACGGACATGGTGCACGGGCATGGTGCACGAGCATGGTGCATGGGCATGGTGGACGGGCATGGTGCACGGGCATGGTGCATGGGCATGGTGCACGGGCATGGTGGACGGGCATGGTGGACGGGCATGGTGCACGGGCATGGTGGACGGGCATGGTGGACGGGCATGGTGTACGGGGATGGTGGACGGGCATGGTGGAAGGGCATGGTGCATGGGCATGGTGGATGGGCGTTGTCCAACAGATAAGCAGCTGAGATCTGAAAGCACGGGAGAACAGCACGTACAGGTGGGTGAGGGCGGTGAGAGGGGTGCGTACAGGTGGGAGAGGGCGGTGAGAGGGGCGCGTACAGGTGGGTGAGGGCGGTGAGAGGGGCGCGTACAGGTGGGTGAGGGCGGTGAGAGGGGCGCGTACAGGTGGGTGAGGGCAGTGAGAGGGGCGCGTACAAGTGGGTGAGGGCGGTGAGAGGGGCGCATACAGGTGGGTGAGGGCGGTGAGAGGGGCGAGAGATGGAATGGACCCCACCAGATCAAGGTAAGACAGATCGCTGTGGGAATACGAGGGTAGGAAGGAAGCAACAGTGGGAAAGGCAATGGCATGGAAGAATGGACCTCTTGAGATTTATGGCCAAGATAAGGTCTTAGTTCTGGTGAAATGAAAGCATTTGAGAAGCGAGGCATGGAAGGGCAGGGGGAGGGGATGGGTTCTGACGTGTGGGAAGGAGAGGAATGAGATGGAAGGACGCAGCATGGCGCCGGTGGGACAGGCGTGAAGCATGAGAGCACGTGGAATAACAGGAGCAAGCACGCACACGTTGTGCTTGGCAAACGGAGGAAGGACTCGATGGATGTGGTGGAGGGAGAGGTGGGTGGTGGAGGGAGAGGTGGGTGGTGGAGGGAGAGCGTGCGTGGGGACGGACAGGTATTGCAGATTGGCGAGGGTGGTGATGGCGGCGGGTATGGCGCCACTTGGTGGAGGATCCGATTCAGAAATCAGCTTAGCATCCTTGCTAGCACACGCAAGCAGCCCATTCAGAAGCACTACGGGCAGCGCAACCATGAGTGCCTCTGCATGATGGCACAGTGATGAGTGCCTCTGCATGATGGCACAGTGATGAGTGCCTCTGCATGATGGCACAGTGATGAGTGCCTCTGCATGATGGCACAGTGATGAGTGCCTCTGCATGATGGCACAGTGATGAGTGCCTCTGCATGATGGCACAGTGATGAGTGCCTCTGCATGATGGCACAGTGATGAGTGCCTCTGCATGATGGCACAGTGATGAGTGCCTCTGCATGATGGCACAGTGATGAGCCGCGCCGCGGGCAATGAGCGCACAGACCAACAGTGAAGGGCGGTGAGGTGCAGTGCTGTGGACAGTGAGGGGCAGCAACGGGCAGAGAGGGCGCGGAAGTGAAATGAGCGGCAGGGAGACTGACAGGGCAGCGACGAGCCCGCGAGGGCTGCACGTGACGCCGGCCCATGCAGTGCACGCCGTGGTGGCATTGCTGTTGCCCGCCCACGCGCCCCACGCCTCCTGCAGCTGCACCAGCGCCTTCACTGCGGGATTCGGCACACGGGGTAAATGGAGCAGATTCAGGTGAACAGGTCAGTGCCCGGGAATAGGGCAGCCGCCAAGACTGAAGCAAGAAGCCATAACTGAAGCCATGAAGCCAAGACTGAAGCCATGAAGCCAAGCCTGAAGCCATGAAGCCAAGACTAAAGCCAAGAAGCCATTACTGAAACCATGAAGCCAAGATTGAAGCCATGAAGCCATGACTGAAGCCATGAAGCCAATACTGAAGCCATGACTGAAGCCATGAAGCCAAGACTGAAGCTATGAAGCCACTGAAGCCATGAAGCCAAGAATGAAGCCATGTCTGAAGCCATGAAGCCAAGACTGAAGCCATGAAGCCATAACTGAAGCCATGAAGCCAAGACTGAAGCCATGACTGAAGCCACGAAGCCCATTTGTTTGGACTATCTGTGCTACGTTTGTTCTCAATGAAGCTGCATCCCCAAAATGTTCCTGACCCAAACCTGACTCGGAAACACGATTGACCCCAGCTTGGCCCAAATTTGACACTAAAGTGACTTCGCGGTCACTTAAGGGTTAGTGGTCAGTTGGGGGATAGTCTGAGGTGATTGAGTTTTTTGACTCAAAAGTAGTTCTAACCCGTACCTGACCCGAATGTGTCCCAAAAGCCAAAAGGACCATGTGGTTTTGGGGATGCGGGTTCGATACCTGTTGCTGGCAGTTCTCGACGTCGATTTTTTTCTGACTTGTGACGTGCGTAAAACAACAAGCAACATGAAGTTTAGTGCAACAAAGGCTACTCATGTAATTGATCTCTTAACCACTACTCGTTGAATACCACTGGGCTAGACTAGCTGTGCAATGTTAGGATATAATTAATTTCACTTCGTTCGTGATAGCAAGAAACAAAACTATGGAAACACACGTGCGAGAAGTGAACCCTTTACCTCTCGATAGACCCTTTGAACACTAACCACTGCTGCATCTACAATTTCTGGTGTAGGGTGCACAAATTTATTTAAAGCTGCGGCCTACATACTTGGAACGGGAGGGCTGAATTTATCACTTGAAAACAGGGTGACCAGTTTTTGGACTCAGCCCCATTTCCTGCAAAGCTAACGGTTGAGGGGGGTGGAGAGTGGGGATTGGGGTTCTTTCTGCCCGAAACCGAACTCCCCAGGTTGCTTCCCGCCCTTCCGCAAACCCTTCCCCCAAACCACGCGTCAGCACGAACTTGGGCTGGATTCGCGTTTCCAGTCTGAGGTTATCGCTGCGGTGTTTCTGAAACCTTCCCACTTCGTTCTCCAATCAGGCCGCACAAAAGGGTGGGCAAGAAAAATACCCCCAAAAACACCACTTTGTATGTAGACCGCAGCTTTAACGTATTCGACGCAAAAATTGAGGGTTTCAATTGGGTTCTTGTGCCAACTGTCGCCACCCTCAATGAAACCCCTTCCTTGTCCACTCACTTCAGCATTTCAATTTCATTGTAGTTGTTCCATGCTCTAATCTTGCTGTTACCTAGCCACTCCTAGCTAAGCCTAATGTCATGCCACCAATCCGCCGTACCCAACTCGTTATCTTGTCGTCCCCATCTCTAATACTCATCCACAATGTACCTATTCCTAATAGAATATTAGTTTTCGCACCAACTGTCAGTAGCGAAGTATTTACGATTCCAACTCTTTTTTCTTTTTGCTTCCCGTTATGAACCTTTTTGTGGCAGAAAGCGAGTATCATCACAGGGGGCGATTCTTCATCAATAAAATGCTATTCAACTATGGTGATTCATCTGATTTTTTAGCGCTGATGTTATGTCATAAAAATATGTCAAACTGTCTTTCCGCCATAGCGATCTCTTAAGGCCGTCTTTCCTTGCAGATTGTTGTTTCATTTTCCAGACATTGCGGTATATTTTACCTTTCTGCCATTGCGATCTATAAATTTACCTATCCTTGCAGATTCTTGGTTCATTTTCTTGACTTTGCAATACCGTATATCCAATGTTTCCGCCGTTGCGATCTATGAAGTCACCTCCCTTTGCACATTGTTGGGTTCTTTTTTCGATACTTTGTTATCTCTATTTCACGCATCACGTTTCTTTGCTAACTCGCAGGAAAGATAGTGAAGGTAGTGGAGGTTGTTTGTATCATTGTCGATGGATCTTGTGTTGGTTGTTTCCACCATTTCATTGCTGTCAGCTTGTCTCATGTCAGCATTTTCTTAGTCTCTTCATGAAGGTGCATATAATCTGGTTAAACTATGCTGCATCGCCACCACTTCCGCGTCTCCTTCACTTTTCGTCCCTTATAACAACCTGACATGGAAACGGTCACGTGAAGATTATTTTTATTATGCCATGCCTGATCTTATTTTGGGGCACAGAGCAATCAAGGTGATGTTTCCAAATTATAAGGTGATAATTGCTAAATGAATGTTCTGGTTTTTATATTCTTTAGTTGGCTTTGTCTCATTTGTAACGCCTTTCACCCTATAATGTGTGTTGGTTTTGTGTTCACAGGTTGTTTTAGCAGTGTAGTGATTTTTATATTATGGGGCCACTGTACAAGGCCCTTTTTTTTACATAGTCATGCTGATGTTATTTGACATTTTGTTGTATTGTGAAATATATATTATACATTCTCAACAAAAAATGCTTATCACAGAAAAAGAACACACTGTAAAGGGGATATAATCAGACCATGCGCTGGCCACGTGTGACCCGAAACTGACCCAAAACTGACTTTTCCCGCCAAAACTTAACCCGTACCTGACCTTTCCCGCCAAAATCTTAACCCGTACCTGACCCATACCTGACCCGAAAGTCACTTTTGGGTGAGCCTGTCTGACCTCACACTAACCTAAAGTGTCAGTTCCAAAAGTAACTTTTGGGACAGATTTCCAGATGTCCCGAATCTTGCCCGGAAGTCACCAGGGGGTCCCTTTTGGGTCAGTACATTTTAGAGAAGTGGGCGAGAAGGGCCTTGGCGTGCGCGCGGCGGCGCGCAAGGTCCCTGCTTGAATGACGTGCCGTGAAGGGAGAGCGTGGGTGGTCTACACTGTGGCAGTGCGGGGTGATGGGAGACGCGGGCCGCAAAGCAAGCTCGCTGGGAGGCAGTCGACTCACATTGCGAGCCTTCGAGAACAACAGGCCTCGCCACGGCACTCTTGGACCCGGCCATACTAGGCGCGCTGGTACCGGCGAGCTTTAACGAGCGACCGGCGCGATTGACTCGTGTTAGAATCTAGCAGCGGGAATGAATCAACTATGAAAGAGTTGCGTACAAGTATGAAACCCTAAAAGGGGCTGTACCCCATATTGGCTACCCCACTACAGCCTACACATATATAAAATGCATATACTTTGACACACCCCCATAGGCAAAGTGGGGGAGAACAAGGGGTCACAAGACCAGTCAAGAGAAGTAAAGCAAGCTCAGGGTGGATCACAACGTCACCACACACACTGAGCACAAGCTAAGGGCCACAAGGCCAGTTCACATGCAGAGGTATATATGCAACAACAACAGCACAGTAATCTCTACCTAGTAGAGCAAGGATGCAGGTATATATATAGATCACAGTACAAGCAAAGTCTACAGCAAGTGAGGAAACGTGGGCACAAGGCCTAACAAAGTACAAAAACGCTGATGATCACCAGACGGAAGTGCCTTGGTGAATATATCAGCAGTGTTGGCCCGAGTGGCCACGTGAGCAAAACGAAGCAGACCACGCTGCTGCAACTCTCGAGCAAGGAAGTAACGCAGAGCGATCTGCTTCGTTCTGTGCTCCAGTCTGTGCTCCTAACACAAGGTAATGGCGGCCATGTTGTCGACGTACAGCACTGGAGGAGAACGAGGCCGCTCTCCCAGGTCGGTCAGCAGGTAGGTGAGCCAGTGAAGCTCCTGTGCAGCCATGGCTGTGGCGTAGATCTTAGCCTCACAACTAGAGCCGAGAATAGAAGACGAGCGTGTACAACGCCAGGAAACTGAACCAGAGGCAAGGTTGAAGGTGTAACCTTGTGACTACCAATGCGTAGCTAGGTCCTCAACTCAAGAAGCGTCCGAGTGCCCAATGAGGACAACTGCGCTCCGCCCTCCAAGCACGAGCCCCATGCCCGATGTACTGCACAAGTAGCGCAGTACCCTCTTAGCAGCATCCATGTGCACCTTTCGGTGCCTATCACGAGCCACGTAGCGAGCCAGAAGGCCAAAAGGGTACGCAAGGTCAGGTCGAGTGCAGGTCATCAGGTACATGAGGCAGCCCACTAACTCTGGGTACGGGCCACTTGGCTCCACGGACTCGTCCAAAGGTGGAGCTGAGAGCGAGTGGCCTGTAGCCAGAGGAGTGTGCTGTGGCGAGGACCAGGTGAAGCCGAAGCACTGAAGGACCTGCTGCACCATGTGTGACTGAGTCACTGTGATGGTGCGGCGTGCTCTGTCCTGGGTGATCTGCAAGCCAAGGTAGCTGCGCAGCTCACCCAAGTCTGTGCACGTGTGTCTCTTCTGCAGCTCCGACTTCACCAGGGCGAGAGCCTCAGTGTCAGCAGTGGCAAAGACCAAGTCGTCGACGTAGACGAGGATGTAGAATGGTGGCAGCAAAGAGTCGGTGCGCAGAAACAACGACGTGTCAGCAGTAGAAGGCGCGAACCCAAGAGCCGCAAGTGTCGTCCTCAGTGTGTCGTGCCACTCACGTGGCGCCTGGCAGAGACCGTAGACCGGCCGCCGGAGGCTCCACTGGATACCAGGAGGGAACGACCCAGTGAAGCCAGGAGGGCGGCGCAGCCAGATCTCCTCGTGCAAGCTGCCCTGTAAGAATGCTGTGTTGAAGTCAAGAGAGTGAAGCTCGTAGTCACACTGAGCGGCAACGTGCAGCAGCACCCGAAGAGTGGTCATCTTCGGGGTGGGGGAGAAGGTCTGGAAGAAGTCAACTCCCTCTCGCTGTTTGAAACCTCGAGCAACGTAACGAGCCTTGAAGACAGGCGGAGAACCTGGCGGCCGCTTCACCCTGAAAATCCACATGCCACTGACGATGTTCGCCCCAAGAGGGGGAACCTCGTCGACGTAGGTGCCTGTGGACTTCCAGGATGCCATCTCTGCGTCCATGGCTGTCTGCCACTGAGAGGAGTACTCACCCGCGATCGCCTCAGCGT